TCGGTGCCCCGCGGGGCTGGCGGCGGGTCGGGGCGGTCCCTGCCCGGGCAGCGGGACGGGTGCGGGGGGTCGGGGGTCCCGGTCGGGCTCCGCCGCCGCGGGCAGCCCCGCGTCGCGGTCCGTCGCGCCGGCGGCGCCGAGGAGGGGAGGGCGGCCGGGGCGAGCCGGGGCTGGGCTTCGCCGCTCCCGTCCCCGGGGCCCGGGGGGCGGCCTCTGCCTCCGCCGCTTCGCTGACGAGTCGGGGGCTCTGCGCGGTGCGTCCCGGTGCCCGTCGCCACCCGCCTCCCGTGTCCGTGAGTCTCCCGGTGCCGCCTCCGCCCGCACCCCGTGTCCGTGAGCCTCCCGGCGCCCGCTGCCGTCTGCACCCCGTGTCCGTGTGCCTCCCGGTGCCTCCCGGTGCGCCGCCCGCTGCCGCCGCCCGCCCCGCCGTGCGGTGCCCCACGCCCCGGCACCGGGGCTGCTCCGCCGCCTCCCGCTCCGGTGCGCGGTGGCTCCGCGAGTCGGTGCTGCCGGGTCCGCTCGGACCCACCGGGGCTGGGGAAGGAGAACCTGTTCTGCATCCTGCACTCTCCGGTGACGAACCTGTCCTGGCGTGGGGGCAGTTTCCCTGTGGGTGCCAAGAAGGGGATAGGGGACAGAGCCCCCTCGGAGAAGGCTGCCGAGACCCTCCTCGTTCTCCGTTGGGGTGACACGAGCAGGGTGAAATATGAGCCCGAGGAGAGTGACCACGGGAGCGTGCTGGGTGCTCGGGGTCCCAGCTCTTCCCCTCGCCCAGCTCCGGAGCCTCCGGCACGCAGAGGGATCCACTCTCTGCCCCAAGGAGCCTCCAGGCTCGCAACGCCTCGGGCCGTGCCAGGGGGGAAGGTGTGAGGTGTCCCGCCGTTTGCGGTGTCCCTCGGCAGTGCAGTGTGTGGGCCAGCAGGTACCTGCCTGCCCAGGGAAGGGGTGATCAGCCTCTGCATTGTGAGGGGATCATTACGGGAGAGTTTCCAGACCTGCCAGCCTGGCATGCCAGAAGGAGAGGTGGGTGAGGAGCCTCCATTAGCCGCCGCTGCTCCCCTCAGAAATTCAGCAATAGGCAAATAAATAGTGAAATGGTCGCTGCGAGGGAGCAGGGAGCCAAGGAGAAGAAATATTCTGGGAGGGTGAGTGCACTTTGGAGCCACATTACAGCTTGCTACTCGAGCAGTTCTGCAGCAACTCACTTAATCACAACAGAAACCTTTATTAACGATACTGAAAAGCAGTGAATAAGTGGGTCATGTATAATAAGCCATTTGTGTTCAGTAGGTGAATACCAATTTGATAAAAGCCGTGTGTGCTGAAAACCTGTATAAATCGCTGTTTAGCAGATCGGAGATTGATCATTTCATTACAGGCTGCTACAGCTTTCCCTCCGCACCGTGAAGAGTCCGGCAGGTCGGGGATGTGGAGCGGGAGAGGAGGCAGGGCCGGTGGGATGGATTCGGCTGTGGCTGGTGGGGTCGGGCAGGTCCTGCCAGGCTTTGCCCGCAGCAGGCAGTGCCCGGAGCTTGCTGCCATCTCTGCCCGGGGCTGGCGGCCTGGAGGAGCCTCCGCAGCATCGCGAGGCTCTGGCACAGCCCGGGAGTGGCTTCGCTCTTCCTTTTAACTTGTTCACAGCGAGGGAATTGACCGGGAGCAGCATGTGCTCCGCAGGCATGGCCCAGTGACCGTGAGCACTCCCGGGGCACGGGCAGCTCCCCCATCCTGCCACCCCACAGTGGTCAGCGAGGCTCTGCTCGCAGGGCAGCCAGGGCTGTGGGGAGGGAAAAGTCACAGTCGGATAAAGTCCTCTCCCTGCCCGCACAGCAAAGGCTCTGCCTTGGGCAAGGATAGAGCCAGGATGGGCTCCATCTGCCCTGGGAGAGCGCCTGAGCTGCAGGATCCCTCCCGCCATCCCTCCCTTACCCACAGCGCTGCCTCTCCCCCCTTTCTCCTCTCCTCTCCTCAGGCTGGCGCCTTCAATTATTCATGCCCCCCATTGCAGCCTGTGCACGCTGGGCTGCTGCCATCGGCTTTCACACGCGCTGGCTGGGAAGCTCCACCGCCTTCCCAGCTTGCTGGCTCCGGAGCGGGGCAGGGGAGAGGTGCGGTGAGGAGGACAAGCCCGTCTCCTTCCCGGCATCGTGCGCAGGCGGTACCTCCTCACCGTCAGCAGAGCCGCGGCTGGAGGCTGGAGGGAGCGGGGCCCCGGCTCCCCAGGGCGCTGCCTTGCTCCGTTCTTGCACACCCCGGTGATTATTCTATCAATTACTTTCATAAACACTTTGCATTCTGCCGGATTTTTTCACACTTCCTGATGGGAATTCTCCACCCGATGTGTTTTTCCTGCTGCTGTTCGTGCAGTCATTCAACGCAATTACATCTGACACCTCTCCTCATCAAACGTCTGGGCTTTCTCTTCCCTTGAAGCGGCTGACAGACGACGGGCCAGACACTGGGAATTATTACGTTAGGACAGTGACAGCTAATTTTAATCATAACGTTCCCCATGAGCGAGGTGGGAATCAAACCAGCAGCCGGCACGGCTGTGCACGGTCTGGGAGCCGTGGGCAGCACGGCAGGGCTGGAGCAAGGACCTGGAGGGGGCCAGGGAGCTGGATGATCTCCACTGCTCCCCTCTTCATCAGAGGCCGGGCAGGCACCCAGGCGAGGACCTGGTGAATGCTCTTCCCTTCATAGCTCCTCTGGGATTTTGGTTCACTGAGTGGGACTCATGAGCCTCGGGACAGACAGCCCTTCCTGGCCCCATTGCTGATGGCTCTGGCTCTCTTTGAGCTCCTTTTCTCCATGGCCACTTCCCCTCCTGCAGGCTTCTTTCCTGCCTGGCTTCCCACTCCCTACAGCTCCGTCTGCAGTGGGTGCCCAGCTGGGCACCAGGGACGTCAGCTGAGCTCGGTTGTGTTGGGTGAATTGGTGCCTTGTAGCATGTGCTCCATGTGGAGCTGGACTGGGATGAGCCCACCAGTGATGGGTCCGGCAGAGCTGGGCAGGAGGGGGCTGTGTCTGTGAGCACTGAGCACTGCCAGCTCTGTGGGATGGTATCAGCACCGTGTGTGGTGTGGGCAGCTCTCAGCAGTGGCTGCCAGGGCCGGTGGCTCATGTTTTGGGTGCTGGGTGTGACACCAGGGGGCTGATCTTGAGCAGAGCAAAGCTCCTGTCTGCCCCATCCCAGCTCCTGCCTGCTGGGAACCATCCACTGGCAGAGAGCAGCATCAGAGCAAGTGGTGGCTGCACGATGGCTGCACATGCTGCTGGGGTCCCACTGGGAGCTATCAAAAAGGGCCATTTTAGGGCTTTAGTACTTATGCTATCAAATAACAACTCCTCCTTGTGCCCCTTGGGAGGGAATTGTCTGAGAACTGCGACTCCCCAGGAGCCAGCCAGGAGCAGTGAGTCCCCTTGCCTGGGTAAAGCTTTGTGTACCCGGGGCCAGGCTGGGGGGACTCACCACTGACATCTCTCCCTGCGGCAGTTAAACATTAGGGCAGCAAGGACCTACTGGGGGCAGGAGCTGGAGCATCCAAACATGATGGGGCACTGCTGGAAATACCTGCAGGTTTCAAGGTTAATTCCACCTTTCCGGTGAGGTGAGTGCTGGCCTGATCACAGTCTCACTGAATTAGCTGGATATTTTTTTTGTTTTAATTCATGCTGCAAATTTGAGCTCCTTCTGCTGCTAATGTGACAGTAAGTAGGGGCAGAGCAATGGCATTGCCATCCCCAGCGTGTGGCGGGAGCCTCCCGGCCTCAACCATGGCCACAACATTCCAGCCTGACGTGTCTCGTGGGAAGGGAGATGGCTCTGGAGGGGAGCAGTGCTCGCTGCCCGAGCTCTCTGCCCGGCTCAGCGGCCGGAGCCAGCGCCACCTGCCCTCTCTCACCAGTGCCGCCGTCACGCCGTGTTTATGCAGCGGTTTGCACCGTGATGTGTTTTCGGCGCCCTGGGGTCAGCATCCCTGCTCGCAGGCTTGTCAGGAGGAGAGGCATCCACAGCTGTTAGCGGTGGTGGGAAGGGGAGGGAGGCTCTAGCCCGACTTGTGCAGCAGACCCGGTGTCCCCGCGGTGGGGACAGTGTGGGTCACACGGCCAGTGCACTGGGGTAGCGCCCAGGCCTCTGCTCCTGGATCCATCTGGAGGGTGCCTTCTGTACCTTCCGATGTCCCGGGGTGTGTCCTGCTCAGGCAGCCCACAACAGTGGGTGGGGGGTCCTGTGGCACCCAAGAGGATCCGTCCCCTTCTGGATCCCTGCTCGGTGTGTGTGCCAGGATGTGCCTCGGGTGCCTTTGCTGCCAGCAGGACACGGTGCTGCTGCAGTCGGGTTGTTGCTCCATCAGTCACACGGGTCAGGGATACCTGGGGAGGGGAAGGTGCTGGAGGGGTTGTGGGTGCCTGGGGAGGGTGCCAGCAGTGGTGGATGCTGTCAGGCACGTTTGTTTTTCCTGCAGTGGTGCAGCTCAAACCGAGCAGGTCGGAACCGGCCCTGTGCCAGGGATGCAGGGCAGGGTTTGGATGGACATGCCAGTGGGCAGGAGTGGGTGCAGAGGGGCTCCTCAGCTCCTCCAGCCTCTGTCTGTGCCCAGCATGGGACAGAGCAAGACCCCAGCCCCACTGTTTGCCCAGCATGTGCCACCCTACCAGCCCAGCTGTGGCTCTGGTGAGGGGCTCCAGCTCTGTTGGGCAGGGAAAGAGGCTTCCAACTACCTGGCACTGCCATGGCTTAGGGGAAAAATCCCTCCCGGACGAGGCGCCTATGCTGACCGGGTGATTAACAGGCATTTGCAAACGTCCAATGCATTTTTAATTGCCCTCCAGTACATGTTTGCACAAACATTAGCCCGAGTGCGTGCCCACGGTGCTGCTCCAGCCGTGGGTGTCTTTGGTACCTTGTGGGGGCTATGGTGGGGGGCCATGGGAACTGGGTCTGTGGGTCATTTCCAGGTACTCAGGGTGATGCACAACCTGCCCTTTCCCCAGCACAGGGGAGGTGGGGGCTGCCCCATCCCCACTGCCCACAGACCCCCTCCATGTGGAGCGGGGCCGGGTGAGGGATGGTGCCGCCGCAGGGAGGGAGCACACAGCCTGTCTGTCTCGGGTTTATGAGAGCACCAAGCTGTCCCAGCAGGCGTTTTCAATTCCGTTTATCTGTGTTTCCCCATTGAGTTCATTTTATTTCCCCTGATTTTTGTTTCCTGGAAGATTTATCGATCCTGGTGTGCTCGGTTTATGACAGGTAGCAGGCCATAAAGCACACGGAGCAATGGCCCCCAACGGCCCCCTCCCTTTTGCCACCAGGACGCTGCAACAATGTCAGTGGGAGGACAGGGATTGTGCTGTGTGACAGAGGGGCCTGGGTGGGCAGGGGGCTGAGGTGCTGGAGGGGCTGAGGCACTGGCCAGCGTTGGTGACTTGTCCGGTGCTGGTGGGAGCAGGGTCCAGGCAGCTTGGCTGCCGTGGTGCAGGGTCTACGCCCAGCCAAGGGCCTACTCATGGCTGGGGGCTGCCTGGTGGGATCCTGATCCCCTCTGCCCATGTCCTCATGGAAGTGCAGAGCTGGGCTGGGCAGTGCATCAAGTCCTGTCCTCACCCCATCACCTCTGTCCAGGCATCTGAGGTCCGTGGCATCCACTGGGAAGGGCACACGATGCTGCTGTAGGACACATTTGAGAGACATCTGTCCCCAGCAAAGGTGATGACCCCGGTCATCCATCCATGGGACCTGCCCTCCTCTGGATGCACTTGAAGGTGGCTGAGCCCTGGCGTTAATTAATACATATGCTTCCCAACTAAAATCAGAAAGAAAGAATGTGCTTGATTCAATCCAACCTTTTCTCCACTCCTCTGCTGAACTCCTGTCTGTGGGACCAGATTTTAATCATGTTTAGAACAATTTGGACCTGGCTGGAGCCCTCAGGTCATCACCCTGCCTCTCCACTGCTGGAGCTGTTGGACCCAGAGGGCTGGCACAGCCTCTGCTGAACCCACTGCCTTTGGCCTTCACTTCTTCCAGCAGGAATCCTGTGGGGAAAGAGCCTGATCCTGGCTGTGGCCAGGGAATGAGTGGGCAAGTGCTGGTTAACAGCTGGACACAACAGCCTCAGCACCACCGTGGTGGGAGCACAGAGGAAGCCTTTGCCCTGTGCCAAGGATACCCTCCTGCTCCTGCCACAGCCCTTGGCCCCCGGGAGCTGTTCCTTTGGCAGCAGCTCCCTCCACTCACCGACACAGAACCCAAATGGCTGCTGATGCCAGGTCCTGGGCAAACAGGGTGTGGGAGCAGCACTGGGAACCCCACCAGGAGACCCGGCCTTGGTAAATCCTGGTGTTGGGTATTTTCCTCAGTTCCCTGCTGAGATGGATTAAAGGAAAGCGATAAGTGGATGGGATTTCCACGCGTCCAGAGGGACGGGGAGATATTAGAGGTATTAGCTTTTCGTCTGGGCTGATAATAATTGGTTTTCAGAGGGATCAGGGCTGGTGAGAGCGCTGCTCCCGACAGGCTGTGTGTCCCAGGGGGCTCTGGTGGCACCGATGGGACCTCACAGTGACTGTGAGCCAGCAGCGCCGGCGGCATGAGGTGGTGGGTGAGGAGGGGAGTCACAGGGCAGCCTCTGCAGCCACAACAGTGATGGGGTATGCAGGGGGCTGGCAGCCCTGTCCCAGTGCTGTGCCGTGCAGGGGGCTGGCAGCCCTGTCCCGGTGCTGTGCGTGCAGGAGCCATCAGAGAACGTGGCTGCAGCGTTTGGCGGAGCCCGGCACGCCGGGGCCGTCTGTACGGAGGAACAACAATCTCTCCGGAGGAGATGAAAAGAATTCTAATTACATCTCCGAACAATATTTGTTTTGAGTGAGGAAAGCAAACCATATGGCATGTGGGAGCCTGTTTGGGGCTGCATTAACCGAGGATTTGTTTTTCATTTGTGCCCTGATCTGAGAGAGATGCGATTTTTGCTTCATTTATTTATTACGCCTTGGAGGTGCGGGGGGTCCTGCACTCACTCTGGGGCAGAGGCCCCAGGGGTCCTGTGGTAGTGGGGGGCCGCAGGCTCCTGCTCCCTCCCTTTCCTCCCACTGCTCTTTGGGAAGTGCCAGGGGCTGGGTGGGCCAGGTGGTTCTGCTGGGGTTGGGGACGGATCACTGGTGTGGGCAAGGGGAAGCTGTGGATGACAGGGACCTGTCCGCTCTGCTGAGGGGACGGGGTCTGTATGGCTGGGGAAGGATGCAGGCACTCCTGGAGACCTCGCTCACGTGGCTGGAGGCATTGTCCTTTGCCAGGAGGGTGGTGTGCCCCTGCAGGAACCTGCAGCCCTCGCTCTGTCTCCTGCAGCCCTCTTCACCGAGACCCCCCACGACATGACGGCGCAGGCGGGCGAGGACGTGGAGATGGCGTGTTCCTTCCGCGGCACCGGCTCCCCCTCCTACTCCCTTGAGATCCAGTGGTGGTACGTCCGCAACCACAAGGACTGGACGGACAAACAGACGTGGGCTTCCAGCCAGGTAATGCCCCTCGTCCTCCCCCTCCGTAGCAGCAAAGAAAGGCAGAGCCCTTCCCTGCTTCACCCAGGGGAAGGGGCTTTGCTTGCAGCCACTGTTGGGTTTAGTGGGGGACCCCATACTGCAGCAGCATTCCCAGTGCTGACCGGACCTGCAGAGCAGGGTCTCATTCCTCTCTGCACTGACAGAGGGAAGCCTGGGGGTTCCCTTGGTGCAGGATCCTGCACTGCACGGCATCCCTCTGCACTGAGGTGCTCTGAGGCCCGCGGGGCTGGGCTGTCCTGGCTGCCCTTCCCAGCTGAGGGGCCGCCTGGCCCATCCCCGTGAGCAGTCTGAGGTAGAATCCTTGTTTTTGTGCTTGTGCCTTTGCCTACCTCATCACCTGCTTGTCCTTCCTGGCCCTGCACCCTCCGTCCCTCCCTTTTTTCCCTGTTTCCCTGTGTATTGGTCCGGCAAACAGCGTCTCTTTATTTCTCTCTCTGTTCACACAGAGATAAGGGCCAAAGAATGGGAAGCAGCTTTGGGGATTTTAATGAGCCTTTATTGTCCTGTCTTTGGCAGAGCTGCTGCTGGTGTTGCCATAAATTGAGAAGCCTTGGGGCAGCACTGCCAAGAGAAGCATTGCCAGGAGCCAAGGGTGGCGGGGCCAAGGGTGGTGGGGGCACTGGGAATGCCCAGCCAGTGGCTGCCAAAGGGGATTACTGGTAGGAATGGGGGCAGGTGCTGGCAGTGATGGGGACAGGGTTCCAAAGATGGGGGGCACTGCTGCAGTGGTGATGCCACAGCGATGATGGCTCCATCCCCAGTCCTGGATGACAGAGATGAGATGCCAGGGACCTGTGGGTGAGCACCCCATGCCCCCTGGCTGCTGTGGTACTGCCGGTTCCTCCCATACCAGGTGCCTGGTGTGCCTCCATCTGCCCTGGGTGCCTGGCTATGCTGGGGCTGAGCAGCCCCTTTTCCCTTCTCCCTCTTCCTCCTTGCCTGGGGCAGCCACCCTGGGGGTGGGAAGGGGTCTGGTGACCTCCCACCCACTCCCAGCTGAGCTGACCATTTCTCTTCCCTTTCTGGTCTCCCCCCATGCTGCTCCTCCCACAGCTGAAATCATCACCACCAGAGGAGCCCGGGAAGGACGCGACCAAAATCAGCGTGAGTTTGGGTGATGGTTCTTGGGGGGCTGCACTTGAGGGCTCACTGGGATGTTCTGCTCATCCCACCGGTGCTGCTGTGCCACAGGCTGGGAACACCGGGGTGGGAGGGCTGGGTCTGCCCTGGCTTGGTGCTGGGGGTGACCTACTCTCCTTGGCACCAATTGGCACAGCCTGAACCCTGAGCCCCGTCCAGTATCTGAGTGACACATTAATGCCCGGGATAAAATAATCCAATTGGCTCAGCGGATTAGCATCCCAAAGCCATTTAGGCTCATGTGAGCAGAATGAGGAGACACTAATCAGTTAAATACAACACTCTTGGCCTTCCACTGTCCAGCATCTGGCTCTCCCTGTCTCGGGGGGCTTTGTGTTTGGGGGTGCCACAGGCACAGAGCAGTGTCAGAAGGTGTTTCCCACCATCACCGCTGCCCTGCCAGCCTCTCCTGGTTATTCCATTTTTCCCTTGCTGAGCAAGCAAGGGCAGATGAGGCTGTTCAGGTGCCCAGGATTAGTCCCCCATCCCCAGGAAACGACCAAGAGTCTTTTACAAGGAATACAGTGCCAGAACCTTTCCCAACAGAGGGCATCACCTCTCAATGCCCATCTGCAGGGATCAGCTCACGATTCTCTTGCTGGTAACGAATCCCCCTCCAGGGGCCACGTCCCCTTTGATCAATTCACTCCCACAATCCACATCCAGACCTCAGCAGGTTCCTCAAGGATCTGTCCCTTACCAGGGTGCTGTGGCTTGCTGCCCCACAAACAGCCAAGTTCCAGGGCTGCTGCTGGAGCATCCAGAGCCTGGGCTCTGCCAGGCTCTGTCAGACCCTGTCTGCAGGCTCAGAGTGCTGCTCCCCATGTCCCAAACCAGCCCTGCTCCCGGGGCAGGAGAGGCAAAGGCAGGTGCAAGGAGCCATCCTGGGGTGAACACTCCCCCTCATCTCAGCATAATTAGGCAGTTAATTGCACGCCGGGATGGAATCGATGTGTGTGCGGGTGAAACTGGGATTTATTTTGAACTGCTAGAGGTGCAACGCCTCTGCTGCCTCCTCCAGATCCAGCCAGCAGGGAGAGGCTGGAGCTTCAAACCTCTTTTGTTTGTTGTTATTTCGAATGTCCTTGATCATGAAGTGTTTACGGAATGGAGGAGGTAAATGAACACATGTGGTTCTGATGGCACTTGTGGTACTGCCATGGCAGCAGGTGACTGGGAACAAGCAGCAGCACCAAACAGTGAGGGGTGATGTAAATCCCACTCAGGAGCCACCATGCCAGGAATCCCTTGGCCGTTTGTTATCCACCAAACACACCTGGTGCTGGAGGCACTGGCTCTGCCTGGAGCCACCGCACTTTGTGGGGATGAGGAGAAGGGAAACATGACGAGTCTGGGGTTTTTTTCTTTTCCCTGCATGGCTCAGGGCTGAGCTGGGTCTGGGCACAGCACATCTGCCCACCCTGGCCGAGCCAGGGGCTCTGCCCTGTTTCCATGGTCAGTGAGGGCCGTTGTTGCTCTGTCTGTGCTGGCGGGGCCACAAGAGTTATGGATGGTCATAAAATCCTCCCTCCCGAGGCTCAGTGACCTGTTGGGCAGTGGCTCTGTGGCCACTGGCGGCACCAGCAAATTGGGGTTTTATTTTATTAGTTCTAAATTTCCCAACCATTAATTTCAGTGACTTCTGGCTCTCCCGACAAAGAGATTTTTTTGAAGCTCCTTTCCCATGACAGCCTCAGCATCTGGGCACGCTCTCACCAGGACCTGGCAGCTCCTGCCCCTTGCCTTGTCCTGTTCAGACCCCCACTCCTGACGATGCAGGACTGGGACTCATGGCTGCACATGGGCTTTGAGCAGCCCTGAGATGCCCTTTGGGGTGGCCCTGGCCATGAGCTGTGGCACCAGCTGCCTCTCAGCAGCCCATGGTGTGCAGGGCAGCCAAACACAGCAGTGTGTGCATGCTCATGTGTGTGCAGGTGTGAGCAGGTGTGTGCATGTGCCTGCATGTGCTGGCTGCCCTCACATTGTGTGGCTGTGGGGACACTGAGGGGTCCTGGTCCCCACGCTGCCTCCTTTGCCATTTGGGGCAGGTTTTGCCTCTCTCTGGCCCCGTTTCCAAACACCATAAAATCCTCAGCTAACAAATGCAGCGGCAAGTAGAAAAATGGCCTTTGCCATCCAGTGTGATTATAGGGAACGGAGCCAGGGGCCTCGGGGCGGGTTATAAATCTGATTTATTGACCCAGCCCAGAGCAGCCACGGCTCTGGCTAGTGAGTAAGTCTTAAATTTCATTGGGTGATAAATACTGAGAGCGAATCAATTTGGTAGAAAAGCTAATTAGCCAGCGTGGTTCCGCATCGATCTCCGAGCCCTGCGTGGCCAGGTGCGAGCCAGGGCTTCCATCATCCCATAGGCCTGGGCTGGGGCTGGGTCCCCCCTGTGCCAACTGCCCTGCTTTGCCCACCTGCACCATGTCCTCCCCAGAACGCCCCTGGGGCGTGGAATGGTGGCACATGGTCGGAGGTGGCACTGAGCTGGGTGTCTGGGGGGCAGTGGGAGTCCTGGGGACCACCTGACCCGCCATCTGCCCTGCTGCAGGTGGTGAAGGTGGTCGGCAGCAACATCTCCCACAAGCTGCGGCTGTCGCGGGTGAAGCTGGAGGACGAGGGGACGTACGAGTGCCGGGTGATCGACTCCAGCGACGGCAAGGCACGGCACCACAAGGTGAAGGCGTACCTGCGGGTGGAGGCCGCGGGGGGCCCGGGGCACCCCCAGGACACCGAGCTGCGGGGGGCCCCGCTGGCAGAGCTCGCCGCGCCGGGCTCAGCCCACGCACACCACCACCACCACCACCACAAAGCCGGGAGGGAGCTGAAGAAGCGCTCGGCAGACACGTCCTGTGTGCTGTAGGCGGGCGGTGTGGGGGGACGCCGGAGCCCCCCTCCGCCCTGGACTCAGCGGAGCCATCGACGGTCCCGCACCCCCTGCCAGAGACTGGCCCCACCGCCCCATCTTGTTCACCACCCCCCACCACCTCCCTCTCCCACAGGCCGCCGCAGGTTTCTCCCCCCAGCCCTGTGGTGCAGCGGTGCCAGGGCTTGGTGCGGGAGCAGGACTGTGTCCGTGCCAGGGGCGCATCGCTGGGACTGTGCCCGGGGCCAGGGTGTGTGCCCGCACGTGGTTGGTCCTCATCCCCACGGCCTTCTGTGGGCGGGCACCCGCTGCTCGATGCCACCGCAGTGCCGCGGGCTGTGCTGCGCCCAAGCTCTCCACCCAGTGGAGACCCCCCTGCCCACGGTACCTTCCCTGCCCTCCCTTGTGCTTCGCAGAACCAGCCGCCTTTTCCCGTAGGTTGCCCCGTTTAGTTGCTCCGTTCCAGCCCCACAGTGCTTATCTAAGTTCCAGCCTCCATCCTACAGCCCGCGTGTATCGCCCTGCCCTGCCCCGCCCCTGCCTGCCCCAAAGCCCCCCAGCACGTCAAGGCCTGAGCTCAGCAGAGGAAGGACGGCATGGCACACTCCTGGCATGCTCCTGGCACACTCGTGAATTGTTCAGCCAGGCAGCTGCCCGTGCTCCGTGTGTGCCCAGGGAGCTGTGCCGTCGGAGCTGGCCTCTTGCACCCATCACTCCTCCTGCCCTTTGCATTTGATGGAGGAGAGGGGCTCATCTGCCAGCCCTGCCCGTGCTCCCCCAATCCTGCTGCCCGTGTCGGCGAGGGTCTTGGCCCCTCCTGCCAGCTGAGCATCCCTCCCTCCCACGCCACGGCACCACGTTGCCCTGGCCAGGGTCTGGCTCACGGGCTCCTGTGTCGCAGTGCAAATGGCAGAGCCTGTCCCCAGTGTCCCCTCGGGTGTCCACTGCCACTGGGGACAGAGCTGTGGGGAGGGACAGGGGGATCCCGAGCCTCCCTGCCCGGGTGCCAGGCACCGCTGCCCTGCCACCCCCCGCCCGTGCCACCCAGCCTGCCGCCACCAGACCTGCTGCAGCTAATAAAGCTCTTTAAACAAAGCCTCTCTGGCTCTGTGCTCTCTGTCTGTGGCACGGCGAGGGGACACGGCTTTGGCACTGCCTTGGCTAAAACGGGGCTGGTGGGGCTGGGATGGGGATGGCGATGGGGGCGGGCACCAACATGATCACCTGCAGCTGCAGCCTCGGAGAATTTAAAAGCTGCAGCCTGGGAGCTCCTGCCCAGCTTGGGAGGAAGTTGCTGCTGCCACCCTGAGGGGTGCAGGATACGTCCAGGTCCCAGGTGAGCTGGGGTTGCTCCGAACTGGGGGTGGCTGGGTGGGCTGCCATCCTTGACACCAGCCTGGGTTTCCAGCCTAACAGTCGGGGGTTCCCAAAGCAGGGTGCTGAGTGCCCCTGGGACCTGGCTCTGCCTCTCTGGTGGGAAAGCAGCTCCCAGCACTGGCAATGCCCAGCCTGGCCCCAGATGCCTGAAGTCCCCCAGCTCTCTTGCAGCTTGTTACTCGCTCCTCACTGTGTTGTGAAGGAGTAAGAGCAGCTGGCTGGTTTCAGCCTGTGCCAGGGGCAGGAATGGGCACAGGGGGCTGGTGCCTGTGGAGCCACGGTCACCTTTGCCACCTGGAGAGCTGTGGCCTTGGGGAGAAAAGGGCACAGGGGAAAAACATTTAGGTGCTGCAGGGTGAGAGGCTGCTGGTGCAAAATTCCACTTTGCCATGAGCAATACTGGTGGCTGTGCCATAGCAATTGCTGGCAGGGCCAAGGAGTTGGGTCTGTGCTTGGCTTCTTCCAGTCAGGGGATGGGATTGCTGGAAGGAGAGGGATCAGGAGGCATCGGTCACTGGTGCAGCAAAACACAGTCCACAGGAAGAGCAAGAGACAAGCTGGGGAGGGCAGGAGGCTGCAAATCATCTCAAAAGGGGAGTAAACAAATTGCTGCACAGTCTAGTGATTTGTAAAACCTGGAGGTGAGCTTTAACAATAACAAGTTTTATTAGAAGAGATTAATTTTGCTGAGCTTATATGAAGTCTTGGGAGCAGGTGTTGGAGGAGAGGACCCTGCTGGGTCTATGTGTGGGGCCCAACAGCACCTGGTGCTGGGAGCTGTGTGTGGGACTGTGCCCCTGGGTGTGGGGGTCCCACATGGTCCTATCCAGGTTTGTGCATGGAGGAGGTGGCTGGACATGGGTTTCTTGGCTTCTTCTCCCCAGGGAGAGTGGCTGGAATGGGGTGAGCCAGGGGAGCAGGGTGCTAGCAGTGAAGCCCCTGGGCTTGTGAAGGGGCTGAGCTAAATATGCAAGTCACTGCTGGGGAGGAACCAGCCTCATGAAAATGCCATTTCCACACAGTCTCTCTCCCGGCCATTATCCTGCTTCAGACAAAAGCAATTTACTCTGCCTCCAATAAAGCAGGGGCGATAACGAAGCTGAGATGAGCTGTGACAGGTGGCTGTGTGACAGGCAGGCCAGCCTCTCCTGCCACCCACACCCACCCGCTGAGGCCATGGGGAAAGCACTGGGAGACATTGGTGCTGTGGTTCTCTGGGGGTCTCAGTGCAGTCAGCTGTGCCAGAGCCCAGGTTGGGGGATATGGCTGGTTCCTGGGCACTGGGCAGTGATGGGACAGTGCTGCCCTCAAATCCTGTGCCTGTCCTGCAGGATGGTGAGCCTTGGCACGGGCAGGCTGGGTCCTCGGAGCCCCCACTGCTGCAGAGGCGAGTAGAGCCAGGCTGGATTCAGCATCTGCACCTGATGGATGAGTTTTATCAAGTGCTACAACAACCCAGAAAACTGCACCAGCCCCAAGGGTGCTTGGAGACCAAAGGCAGTATTTCACCTCCCTGCCTGCCCTGTCAGACCAGCTCTGAAGGCTCCTTTGTACAGAACCCAACCAGCGTTAAGCACTGAACAGATATTAAAAAAGGATAAAGCTGACCTGCAGCCCTGTTCTACTAGGTAAAAAGCCACTGACTTGTGTTTTCCCTGGAGAAGCAAATAGGAGTAAAGCCTGAATAAAACCAGGGAGATGAGGGGAGGTAATCTCAGCTGAGGCAGGTGGGCCCCCTCCAGCAGAAACATGTTTTGGATGCTCACCCAGGATCCCCAGCACTGAAGCACAAAGCCTGCTCCATGTAACAATCCATTTATTGCTTTGGGTTTTTTGTTTGTTTCTGAGCTTGCTCCTGAATTTACAGTCAAGATCTATCCTTTTGCTTCCCTTGCATAGAACTTCATGTGTTAGGAGGCTGCCTGCTGCCAGGAGCCACTCGGGTGAAGCTGAGGGATCCAGGAGTCGGTGAGGTTTGTGAGCAGCCAAGCAGAGCAGTGCCTGTGAACAGGTAGATATTTCACCTAATTCTCCTTGGGGGGGGGTGGGTTTGAAATGGCCTGAGAGAACCAGGTGACCTGGGCACAGGAGAAGTCGTAAATCACTCCCAGGTGTAAATCAGGGCTGGCTGATTCTCTACAGAACCTCACAGATGGTGAGACGGGGAGCAGAGCACGTTCAGCGGTCTCCAGCCAGTCTCAGCAAACCACAGCTGTGAGGAGCAGCCCCGATGCTTCTGAGAGGACACACTGTTCTTGCCAGTAACACCGGTGAGAAATTTATTGGAAATGCACTTTAACTTTGTCTGAGATTAACTGGTTTTAAAAAGAACAGGTTTTTAGTGCACCCCAAACCACATTCTCTTCTTGGAAAGGGTTAAGGCAAGAAAAAGCTTTTGCTTTGACCTGGCAGTTGCTGTCCAGCTGAGAATGGGAGGGATCATCACAGCTGTGAGGAGGTCAGAGGGGTGTGAGGGGTGCTGAAGTGGCACCCCCCAAGGATCAGGAAGTAATTTCTGGAAGATGACTCACTCTTCATACTGAAGAATTTGAAACAGATGTGCTGTTTTCTCTGCACATGGTGCTGGAGAGGTACCAGTCAGGAGAAGTCAGGGTCATGAACCCCCCTCATCCTCAAACAGTGCTTCAAAAACCAAACCTTCTGCCATGAGGTGTCTCAGCCAGTGCCCCGGACTGGGCAGCCCTTCCTCTGCTCCTGAAAGACTTGGGGCCTCAATGACGGCATTTTCCCAGGTGAGCTGTGTCCTGGTGGTTCCTCTTTCCCCTCCCGGCTGCCGTGTGGGTCTGTCAGGGGGGAGATGCCTCCCGTGTGCTGGCCCCTGGCCCTGTGCTCTCCTGCTGCTGCAGCCTCTGCAGCAGGAGCAGCACGTTGTCGGTGAGCTCGTTCCGTGGCCGCCCCATCCCGCCGAGCGTCACCGGCCGCAGGCTGGCGTGGGGGGGCTCGCAGGGCCCAGGGCAGCACACCTCGTTCAGGAGCAGCCACGTGCTGTCAGGGTCCACCTGCATCAGGTGCAGGAAAACGCTGTGGAAAACAGAAGGAAGAAAGGAAAGAAGAGTAAGGAGAAGGCCTTTTGGTTGGCACTCGACAGAGTCATGAAGAGCTGAGGAAAACTCTGATATTGGTGACTTCTGGCAGCTGAACAGACTCAGCAGCTCATTACAAAGGCCAGTGCAGTGGCCCCTGTGCCCAAGAGAAGGCAGCTCTGTGTCTCACAGCTACAGGCACATGGGAGAAAATATTTACTATGCTCCACAGTCCGTTATGGACATCAAAGAAGCAGCTGGTGCAGAACTGACCCTGGCATTGTGGGCTGTTGCTGGCACAAGCCTCTCTAAACTAGCCTGTCCCACGTGCAGAGCCCTGCAGTCACCTCCCCAGCATGTGCTGCTCGTGTCTGGGATCTTTTGAGCAACAGCTGCTGCAGAGATCTTAGAAGAAGCTGTCTGTTTTGTTCACCACCCCCTCTGATATTTGGGGAGTGAGGGAGTTAACCCATCTGAGCTTCTGTCTCTGTCCCCTTTCAGAGGTGAGAAACCCAAGGGTATGTTGGGAGAGCTGCCCGGGCTGGACCCCAGGGGAAGCTCAATGCTGTATTTGAGGACTTTTGCTCAAGTGAAGTCTCCCTCCATCCCAAGTCCTTATCAGCTGCCTACAAATTTTCTTCCTTCTGCACAGCACCTTTCACAAAGCAGGATTTTGAAACAAAACAAAACCTTTGTTAACAACAGAATGAAGGAAAAGAAGAATCACAACTTCCTCCACGGCTTTACTGCTGTGTTGATGGTTTTAACTTTGCATTTCAATACCCCCTTAAGATGGGATTTGCCTTTCCAGCATGCCCTTCATACTGGGCTCCAGCTGAGCTGCTGGGACACAGCTGCTGCTGGAGAGCAGGAAACTGGAGAGCTGAAGAGCAAACTGCTGATTTCTGTGACCTACACTTACCCACCCACTTCTGCCAGTTCTCCCTGCGGTAACCTTTGGGCTTAGCTAGGTCTGTGTCAGGGTTTAATGCTCAGAAGGTGTACTGGGCTTAACGGGTATTAACTTCTCTGGCTGTGCCATGGACAAAATTAGACTGGAATTTGCAGGCTGCCCTGACAGCCCTGCAAGGCCTCTACCTGCCTGGTGCTGAGTGCTCTGTGAGCACTCCACAAACCTACGGGACAGCTTTCCAAGATTCCAGTAAAGCCCAGCCACAAGACTCAGTTCTCCAGTTTCCACTGAAATCATGGGGCCATGAGGAGAACAGCAGTGCTCAGTGAGCTAATGGGAAGAGAAATCATGTAGGTCTGTCTCTGTTCCCCCAAGGAGCACAGGACTGAACCCCCCTCTCTAAAAGCAAAGATCACCTGCTACAAAAGCCACACAGAATCCAGACCTGATTGCTGTCCAAACTTCTCCCTGAAGGACTTTTATCCCTAAAGTGAGCTTGCTTCCTGTGTAAAGCAGGGAGAAATCCCTTTGAGAAGCTCTCCTCTGAAAGGGAGTGTGGTGCCATGGGTAACTTGAAAGAGCACAGAAGAGATGAAGGCACAAGAAAGCTCCCTCTCCTCTTCACAATAACCCTGTGGATGTGTGACTTGTTACTCTACCAGTAACCAAAGCTGTTGCTTTTGCCTCTCTGCCATTTACACCTTGCCTGTCCCTCAGTGCAGGTCTCTGAACAGCAGGAGGGGAGATATCACCACTGAAGC